ATGGTGATTCGATGGTGGTGCATGTGGGTTTTAGTACTGATTTGTTCGCCTTATCCTGAACTTAACAATGTCTCGTGGCTACACAGAATAGGTGTCGCGACTACGAGTCTTGCTAGTCCCTGATGCCAGGAACGGCATTAAGATCACGGCATGTTACGGTATATCATGGTGATAGGGAAGCGTTCTTCTTCGGAGTATCACCGGGATGCCCCTACTTGTGCAGAGTCACACATACCGTCAGCCACTAGAGTACTAGTATGCTATCTTATCTTATCTTATACTTGCCTTCTATTCTCTTATACTATACTTTTTACTTTATCTTACTTTGCATCATAGTATACTATACTATATCATACTACTTTGTACTATATCTGCAGACATTGTATTATGTAATGTTATTGTTGCGTAAGCATAATATTATACTATTATGTTGGTTTATCTTGTCTTATGCTCTGTCATTTTACATTACACTATCTTGTCTTATCTTGTGTTATATTCTCTTACACTATATAGGATATCATACTATACTAGACTATACTAGACTACGATATATTTATACTATACTCTACTATACTAGGCTATGAAGTGATGTCGCACAGAGAGGGCCCGGCACTGTCCTCTGGAAAAGCAGCCCAGGACCTCTGTGGGACCCAGGTGGGAACTGGAGTAGAGGGTCTCGGCTGCAAGGCCAAAATCTCATGACAGAAATGTATATATATATATATACACATATCTATATACATATATATATATATATATATATAGGTTTACACACATGATAATACATACGTATACATGACATATAATGTGTGTGTATATATATATATATAGGTAAATCTGGATACATACATACATGCTACCGCCGGTACCGGTTTTGAGATCACTTGGCAGTAGGCAGGCATGCTGTCTTGAGTGACCAGCAGGAACGCGCCGAAACTCTTGCCATCCCACTCTCCGCATCAAACATAAAACCCGTCGCCACTACTTAACGCGTACAACACATCGTCCTAAACCCTAAACCCTAAAATCGACCCTGAAGTTCCTATAGCCCAGATTTGGGGGTTCATGTGTGGTTATAGAAAGGGTAACCACGGTTATAACCCATATTAGGGGACTCATAACCCATAAGTGGGGTTATACATGTAATTATGGTTGCTTGTAACCCCGCTTGCAACTGCTCATGAACCTCCAGGAACCCTAAACCTCAAACCCTGGACACTCATGAATACCCCGTACAGGAACCCTTCTAGAGGCCTTATACATCCCTTAATATTAAAGGAACCTTATGAAACCTCCAAGGACATTGGGACGTGAAGCAAAGCCGCGTACGTAACCCAAGACCCGGCGAGAGCCCCTGAACCCGATGGCCCCAAACCAGATATCCTGTAATATAACGTAATATAGGTCCTTAATAATTGGAATAGGGATTTGGGGTATATTCTATAAAATTTAGAATAAGGAGCCCCGAAAATACGATGGTAATTGTTTAGGCGCTATATTAGCCCCAAAAGCCTTCATTTCGTCCTTCCGTAAACCCTAAACCTAAACCGCTAAACCGGGAAGAGGGTCCTGAAGGTCGGTACCAGTTCGGCAGCTTCGCTGAGGTTCCCACCAATGAAACACACGAAGCTGCCAGTGGTAGCCTGAGCACGGGGACTGTTTAGGGTTTAGGGGTTTAGGGTTTAGGGGTTTAGGGTTTCTCGCTTTATCTGGGGGTTCTGGAACGTTTGTCACTCATTGTTTCCCCCTATCTTATAATATATCTCACCCCAAAACTTCGGGGTCTGAACCAGTAGTTGTTGTATAGCAACATGTCACTGCAGGAAAACCAAAAGCCCAATTCACTGGTCTGGCATCCGCTGAAGCCATAAACACTCCCACACCCCGGACCCCGAGCAAGTACAAACCTGAAAACCCTAAACCCCAAGCCCTAAACCCCTCAACCCTAGACCC